GGGGGGGGGGGGGGCGGCCGATACTTATGTAAGGGGCCCAGGCAGCCCGGGGGGCCCGGGACCCTTACATGGTTATCAGGCCATACAGGGTACATGGGATGAGGTGGAGTGGATAGTGGATAGATAAGGGGCAGTTAGTGTTAGTGATAAGGGAGTGCGCTTAGTGTTAGATTCAATTTTATCTATTAGGTTGTAAGAGTGTTAAAATAAAAGTGGGTGCGCTGAAGCACCCGGTGGGACGGCCAGTAGATGGACTTGATTGGTGGGTCAGTGGGTGGACTCAGTGGAACAGCCACTGGGCAGGCCTATGGTGTGTTGGGGGGGCGAGGGGCCCAGGCCTAAAGCCGTGTAAGGGGCCCCAAAGTTCGTGATCTCAGCTCTGATCCTGTTATAGCAGTGGCATGGTGTGATTAAATATGACTATGCAACCCACTAGGGCCCCAGAGTTTGACTGTGCAGTGCAATGATAACATCCTACATGGTAATCTAATAGACCTGATCAGGCATGCCCTCTCTTATCCTCCATAATGTTAATCTGTGTAAGGATGCTTATGCTGAAGCTGAGAGGTGTGGCTATTACTCAGCTGTAGATAATATAGAAATGTCACCAGCACACCAGACTCCTTCAAGGATAATCAATCGTGGATTTATTCAGAACTTATGTCAAATACTGTCATGGATTCGGCCCGGCGCGTCTCTTCGCTTCGCGAGACTACAATACCTCGTCAGGTGGAAGGGGTACGGACCTCAGGAGGATTCTTGGGAACGTTCTACAGATGTACATGCTCCAAAACTGTTGAGGGCATTTCATTCCAGACACCCATCCAAACCCTCTCCGCTCAGACTCCCCGGTGCGGTGTCTTTAAAGAGGGGGTACTGTCATGGATTCGGTGTATTCTCTCATACCACATCCATATCAATTCCGCAGCTGAGATCCAACCTAACCGGTCGCTGTGACAAATACACATTGTGTATTTGACATACGTTCTGAATGAATCCACGATTGATTATCCTTGAAGGAGTCTGGTGTGCTAGTGACATTTCTATATTATCTGCAACTGGCGGCACCATCCGCGGTCATTCCAAGCACCCTTCCCAATATTCGGGGCTGTCCGGTAAGGAGTGCAACAAACCTCTCTCTTCATATTACTCAGCTGTGCCAGCATAGAGCACTGAAAAGGGAGAACAAGAAGATTATTTATCCTGAAAGTAAAATGGCATTACATAAAAAAAATTATATTTGAAGAATTGACTGAAATCATCAAACCTTGAGCAACAGATTACAAGCAAGAAAATTAGAAAAATATGGATAGAGTAAAAAAAAAAAAAGGTGTTGCCTAGTTAAAATTACTGATTACAAACTGCAGGTATAAGCTGTAAAATGATACAGAACAAACAGGAGGAATAATAATTAATCTACGTTCTCAAGAAGAATATTTAGTGTTTTTACCTGAATACACCAGCCGGAAGTCCTCCTGGAGAGGTGCAGTAAGAGACTCGTGTTGGACTCTACAGGAGAAGGTCCGCTTTCTGTCCTTTTTAGTGGGTGTTATTGGTACTGAGCTCCTCACACTGTACGTCCCATCCGGGTCTCTCTGAGGTTTCTCCATGATAACATTGTCCAATATCGCTCCATCTCGGAGCCATTTAATATCAATCTTTGCCGGGTAGAATCCAGAAATTGTACTGTTCAAGCTGCTCTTGGTGCTCATAGTGACAACTTTGTTAACAAATGTAATAGTTGGTATTGCTGTTAAATAATAAAGGAAGCAGTAAGTCTAGACTGTAATATGAAAATCAAATTAATATAACTATATGTATTTATGTTATTAATACTCACAGCTTATGAGAGAATGCACCCCAGTCCATTACATGAGTACATTGTCACAGGATTGCAAGCCCCTATGAGGCAGCAGTGAGGAGCAGTGATCACGCAAACCTCTCAATTTTTTAAGATTTTTTGCATCTTATTTTGTTTGGGCGGCAGGGAGCTGGCAGGAAAACGGGCCCTTTATTTGCATGAGAGGTTAATTTTAGGTATGAGGATAAATATAAATGCTGCGTTGGTAGAGGAAATCAATCTGACAGAAATAATTATTAGCTCCCTAAACAAGGAGCAGAATATAAAAGTTCCCATAAAAAAAAAAACATCAAACCTGTAATGTCCACTCTGATCTTCTTCTCCATTCGGAGAGGACTGTAGGTCACTGAACATGTGTAATCTCCACCGTCTGATACAGATGTGTTAGATATGGTCAGATCAGCATTTCCATTTAATGCTCGATCTTCTTCCAGTGAATATCTGGGGTCAGTTGATGTTACGATGTCATCATAGCGTAGGATCCTCTTTCCTTCTAAATACCAAAAAACTGCAAAAAACCTGAGATCTGCAGGAAGTTTATCTGCTGTGAATGTGCAGGGAATGTGAGCAATAGATCCAACGCTGGCCATATAGGTTGAAGGTCCCGTCATCTGTAGAGCAGCAGCTGCATGAGACGAAAATAAATCAAGTTTATATGTTTGCTAAATACACACAAATTCTGATTCACTCAGACATAACAGTAACCTAAGGTGAGGTGAACCTGTGTTAGGGATATTTCTTTGCATGACTAGATACAGAGCCGTAGCTAGCACCTTTTGCGCCCGAGGCAAGAACAGAAAATTGTGCCCCCAACAGACGTGTGCGGTATGTGACGTCATGCACTCCGGCTCCAGGATGGTGGTGTGCATGCGCAGAATGCGCTGGTGGCCAAATCTAAAATAGCATAAAAATGTGTTTTATTTGACAAAACGAATGAAAACATTTTAAGTTTCCGTTCATTAGTCTGAAACACATTTTTTATCTTTGCACATGTATTGTATAGTATAGTATAGTATAGTAGTGTGTGTGTGTGTGTGAGGACTTTAATGCACTTCCCTTTCTTGTGGATTACAAATACTCTCACTTTGACGGTGAGTGCTCCAACATGAGATCAAGGGCCCCATCCTCAGTAGACTTGTTCTATTATTCCACAATGGTTACACAGGATTTGAAGAGTGTACTCGGGCAGAATTTTCACCTACATTATTCAATGTTATCAGGGTATTTACCTCTGTTACTGTTGATTTCTTTTCACCCGCCTAGTGCGTTCTGGCAGGTCAGTTTTTCAGACAGCATAATTGTTTCAATGTTTGAAATCACTTTAATCTTGTGATTGTTGCAACTGCTTACGCAGCACTTCCCTTACGGGGCTTATTCCTGCTTAAACAAAGCCCTTCCTTGTCACTACAAAAGGGCTTTTGGGTCACCCTTGGGAACAGCAGGAGGTCCCAACATTTCAATTGCTCCTTTGGGAGTCAGTGCTACATTCTCTTTCTGTTGCAGCAAGGACATTTACTACTGTGTACTTTGCAAATATGTCCCTCTGGTAGTGGAGACAGGCTCTCTTTATATCTAACAATATCCAGCACAATAAGAGGTTACATGACCATCCTTGGTCTTTTCATCTTGCTCTATACCGGCCTGTGGGAAGAGTCAGGTGGAGGCAGCACATCGCATGCAGTAATGGCCACTCAACAGTGATTGACATTTAGCAGACATCATGCTCATGTAAACTCATACACACAACCTTACCTAAATGTGGTCAGGAGAAGACAGTGAAGTAGATTCTGTAAGTTACATGTGTCTGCCCTCCAGATCACACTGCACAGCATAATACACAAGTATGGGCTTCCCTTCCATACTCCTTACTGTTTATTAGACATGTGCAATTTGTTTCATTCCGAATCAAAATTCGGACATTCGGAAACATCCGAATTTCCAAATCCCAATGCATCCGAATGTGTCCGAATCCGAATTTCGGTTCCCGAATTTCGGATCCTGTCCGAATTTCGTTCAAAAACTAAACTGAATCGTACATGTGACTTTGTGTTTTTTGGTTTGGTGCATCCGAGTGGGTCTGAACACGAAAATTTGTGTTCAGTATATACATATAATAGGAAAGCTGAGGCTGCTAGACCCGAATGGCATTTGGGATCCAAATTTCCGAATGCAATGTGATCCAGAACATCGAGCCCATCACTAGTTGTAAAGTAGTCACCACTCCAAGCTCGCTCCCGTGATGGACTACAATCGCATGTTTAGTTTACTAATCTGTATTGAGAAATACAGCGAAACCTGAACGCTCTAGCAATTTTTTGTGGAGAATATACAGGAGAGAGCCAGGGGAGAGCGAGGAGAGACAACCAGTAGAGAGAGAGAGATGAGACAGCCAGGAGAGAGCGAGGAGAGACAGCCAGGAGAGAACGAGGAGAGACAGCTAGGAGAGAGAGCGAGGAGAGAGCCAGGAGAGAGAGATGAGAGACAGCCATGGAAGAGAGTGAAGAGAGATAGCCAGGAGAGAGAGCCAGGAGAGACAGCCATGGAAGAGAGTGAAGAGAGATAGCCACGGGAGAGATCAAGGAGAGACAACCAGTATAGAGAGGAGAAAGACAGCCAGGGGAGAGAACGAGGAGAGACAGCCAGGAGAGAGAGGAGAAACAGCCATGAGAGAGAGGACAGATAGCCAGGAGAGAGAGCGAGGAGCAATAGTGAGGATTGACATCTTGTGTGCCTGATTCAGAGCCATACACTGAAGAAATTGATAAATGGGCCAAAGCACAAAGTGTCAGAAAAAGGCCACAAATTGTTGGCTGATATTGAATTTTTTTTTTTGGCATGAGGGACATTAAGGATGATATGAAGAAAAATTCACACTGGTTCCTCCGGCACCCCCCATAGTCCTGGCTCTAAGTGTATACATCTAGCATTGCACATGTCATACATTACATTGTAGTGTATGTGTAAGAGAGAGAGAGAGAGAATGAGAGAGATGATGAGAGAGAGAGAGAGAGGATGAGAGAGAGAGAGATAGGATGAGAGAGAGAGAGAGATGATGAGAGAGAGAGAGAGGATGAGAGAGAGAGAGAGAGAGGATGAAAGAGAGAGAGAGGATGAGAGAGATGATGAGAGAGAGAGAGATGATGAGAGAGAGAGAGAGAGAGAGAGAGAGGGTGAGAGAGAGAGAGAGAGAGGGTGAGAGAGAGAGAGAGAGAGGGTGAGAGAGAGAGAGAGAGAGGGTGAGAGAGAGAGAGAGAGAGGGTGAGAGAGAGAGAGAGAGAGGGTGAGAGAGAGAGAGAGAGAGGGTGAGAGAGAGAGAGAGAGAGGGTGAGAGAGAGAGAGAGAGAGGGTGAGAGAGAGAGAGAGAGAGGGTGAGAGAGAGAGATGATGATTGGAGGATCTACAGCCGAGTGATACACAAATAAAATACATTGTTGTTCAGAGTTAAGTGGCTTAAATGCATTTTTTAAATGTAACTCCTGAGTTTAGTGTCACTTTAACATTGAGGAGGATGACTGTAAAACAAAGCAGTGAATTGTAAGACAATCTATCACATGTCCAAATCCCAAACAAGTCCTGGGACACAAGAGAGATGTACAGTATATACTGTAGGTATAGGGTGCTGGGACACAAGAGGGATGTATATAGGTATAGGGTGCTGGGACTCAATTGGGATGTATATAGGTATAGGGTGCTGGGACACAAGAGGGATGTATATAGGTATAGGGTGCTGGGACTCAATTGGGATGTATATAGGTATAGGGTGCTGGGACTCAATTGGGATGTATACAGATATAGGGTGCTGGGACTCAAGTGGTTAACTACGAAGCATAACAAGCCAGTTTAAATTTTTTTCATTAAAATAAAGGAAACAAAAGCAATGAGAGTGACTGACCTGTAAAACACAGAAGAGGGAAAAGAAGAAGAAGATTTCCATACATTGTGTTTGTTTCAATCTCCTGTGAGGTGGTGACCGCCGTGTCCCTCTTAACTCTTGAGAAGTTTGGCGCACATTCATCCCATGAATATGGACTTTGGACAATATTTAGGAGTATCGAGGACTGTGTTCTGCCCAAGCTATACCCGTCCACTTTCTTGTTTCTTGAAATTCTGATCTACTACAACGTATATTTTAATCCATGATAATAAGGGTGTTGGAATGAAGGTAGTGAAGTATTTCCCGCAGACTGTATTTAAAATAGATCCTCGTTTCCCAGCAATGGAAATCATATGGAAATCGGATATATTAAACCTGTTTTCCCTGTTCGTGTTGTCCTCTGGGAAAGTTTGGGGATTTCATGTACAGGTGCACTCCTTAGACAATTTTAACTCAAAAGCAGGAAGCTTGTTGTAAAAAGATGAGTCAGCCTTCTGATATCTGCTAAGTGACATTAAAGTCAAAAATATTTTCCCCTCCCCCCAATGTTAATGTCAGCACCTTAAATGATGCCTCTTAATCCGATCTTCCTCTTCTTTCCTGTCCTTTTCATCTGTCCCTCCAGCGCTGCGGCGGGTCTCCGATCCAGCGCTGACTCCTCTGAGCCTGCTGGCACTTCCTGTCCCACAGTGTCTGCATGCAGGTGCACACGTCCATAGACTTACCTTGTGTCATTTTTGTTCCCCATGGTCCCTGTGTGTTGTAAAGCCGTCACCACTCCAAGCTTGCTCCGTTTATAGACTACAGACTACAGTAACACTGGTTCATTTAGAAATGTTGATTTGTAGACATGTGCACTGCCAAAAAATTTGTTTAGTTTCGTTTCGTTTTAAATTCGGATTTGTGTTATTTCGTTTTTCGGGATTCGGGTGTGAAAGTCAATTCGGAATTCGGATTCGGACGAAATTCGGTAGCGTTAGTTCGAACGTTCGTTTCGTTTTCTGTTCTTATTCGTTTCTTATTCGTTTCGTTCGTTCATTTGCAGCAAAGTGACATTTGAAGGGGGAAAAATATTTTTCTCCTTCTCTAATGTCACTTTGCTCCAACGAACGAAACGAATAAGAAACGAATAAGAACAGAAAATGAAACGAACGTTCGAACTAACGCTACCGAATTTCGGAAATGGAAATTCGGATTCATTTGCATTCGTTATGTCTGTAATTCGGAATTTGGATACATCCGAATGTCCAAATTTCTGAAAATTCGTCCGAATTTCGATTCGGAACGAAACGAATCGCACATGTCTATTGATTTGTATTGGGTGAAAAGGTACGGATGAATAAAGATAAACATTGGTCTTGTGTAAGCAACCTTTGGCCCTAAAATAAGACTCTGTTACCAACAATAAGACATTGAAAATAATCACTGCGTTGACCCTTTTGTGGCGACTTTTTAATAAAATGCCCTTTACCATGAAAATGGTATTTGACATTGCAGTAGAGCACTAGGAATGTGCAACTGTGTGTGTCCCTAGTTCTCAGACCTGCTGTCAATCAGAAAAAATAGTCATAGAGTTAGTTGATACCAACGCTGGTAATCTCGGTCTGCGTGTCTAAACTTTAAAGGTCTCTGGTCAGGAAAGGATTAAACAAGAGAGATATACCACTTACCATTCCTGCTGCCCGTGCCTCAGATTTACAGGTATGTTCTCTTGAACAGCTAGACCAGCAAAGGAATCTTTAGCATTCAGGAGCAGTGACATGGGCATTCCACATAAAGTAGTAACCGCTCCAAGCTCGCTCCGTGATGAACTACAATCTCAATACAAATTAGTAAACTGAACATGAGATTGTAGTCCATCTCGGGAGAGGGGGGGGGAGGGGGGGGGCAGCTTGTAGTGTTGACTACTTTACAACCATAGGGAACACAAGTAGCCCCCCTCCAGAAGGAAGGACAGTGTCAGCACCAATTCAGTGATGATTGGAGGATCTACAGCCGAGTGATACACAAATAAGATACATTGTTGTTCAGAGTTCAGGTATTTGAATGTATTTTTAAGATTTAGTTCCGGAGTTTAGTGTCACTTTAAGTGAGATCTCCTTTATGGAGTTTCCTCCCCTGTTAAACCATAAGAAGATATAGAAAGACGTTTACAGAGTGTGACGGTTTATTTGTTGAGATAATTTAACATTCACCATCCACAAAAAGTTTTTCGGTTCTTCTCTCAATGGGTGTCTCCAGAGAGGGGTGATCCACCCTACAGATGTATTCCGCCCCATGGTGAACGTTCAGTTTGGGGATGATGGTCAGAGTGGCTGTACAGCTGTATGTGTTATCAGACTCTTTCCTGGATGTAGTTGTACTGCTAACCTTATATTCAGTCTCCTCACATAACTCCTGACTCTCACTTCTTCTCAGCCACATCACAGTGATGGCGTCAGGGAAATACTCTGAGATGTGACAGTGCAGGGCGACTGGGGTGTCATGGAATACACTGGGTGTTTGTATCTCTTTCACCAATGGCTTCCATGGGTATTCTGCAAAATATAAAGGAAAGGTTTTATCTTCAACATCTCCACACTGCTGTGTATGAAATGTGTAAAGTCTTTATAGCTCAGAAATATGACTGGATAAAAGAGAAGCTTCTGTCTTCTCATTGTTCTTTTGCATACACAAAGTATCACCCTAACCGTCCCCTCTGCTCTTCAAAAGACCGCCTGCTTTCCTGCTCCCTCGTCAACTTCTCCCATGCTTGCCTCCAGGACTTCACTAGAGTCTCTCCCATTCTCTGGAACTCTTTACCCCAACCTGTCCAACTATCTCGCACTCTGACTGTCTTTAGGCGATCCCTTAAGACTCATCTCTTCAGGGAAGCCTATCCCACCTCAACCTAATCGCTGAGCTATCACATTCTCAAACAATTCGTCCCCACACAGCTACCTTTTCATGTATCACTGGCCCCTCCCTTTTAGATTACAAGCTCTCAGGGGCAGGGCCCTCCTTACCATCTTGTCTTGAGTTGTATTTTGATTGTAATGTCTTCCTTATATCATAAAGTGCTGCGCAAACTGTTGGAGCTATATAAATCCTGAATAATTATAATAATACGTGGAATGGCGATCAGGTTAATGGAAACAATCTTATCAATAGGTGGTGAAGTTACTTTTCACCACATGGATCTAACTTGTAAACTTTAAAAAAAAGTGTAAAGAGAGACTACAGTATAATCATTTTGTGTCAGTTTTATTTTATTATTGTTTCCTTCATTATTATTGTTAAACCTTTTTTTACTGCATGTAAACAAAGTAAACATTTGATACATGACAAAGGTTTCCAAGAGTGCTATGGGGTATCAAAAGAGACTGCATGAAAGAAGCTGCCTGCATTTAAGCGGGCTGTGTGAACCTTTGAAATGAAATGAAAACATGACAAGTTAAAGAGATCTCCACCCCCTGGCTTAAAAGAAGAATTCAAGCTGTACCTAGAATTTCAGAAATGCTCTTCGAGTTCAGCTGAGCTTTAGGGAGTTGGACTCCTAGGTGGTCAGGAACAATGTTGGGAGTTATGGCAGGAAGATCTCACTGTTGGAGAATCCAAGATACGGTATGTCTGAGGCCAACACCTGAGTTAGCCCACCAGGTTCTATCTACAACTAAATATCACTTTTGGGTGGGGTGGCCTTTTAGTTTTTTGTGTTTTTTTATTTTATGAATGGCTTATAGTTATATAGTATATATTTGTTGTAATTTACCAAATAACTTCTTGTAACTTACCTGAGTCTCTGATAGACAGATCCTTATATCCCGGTGTGTCCAGAGATTGATGTTCCCAGCTCACTCGTACTCTGAATTCTGGATCCTTCAGGAGCTCCTCAGGAATTCTGACCTCACTGCAGACACTATACGTCCCATCAGGAATATCTGTGAATGTATGTGTGGATTGTATGGTTTCTTGTGGCCCCTCCACTCCATGTGTCCATCTGAGTGTGATGTCTCTGGGGTAAAACTTCTCCAGAATGACCAAATACTTCAACTCCCCAGAGACAAATAAACTTCGTGATACCGGCTGTAATAACTGAAGCTTTACTGAAAAGTGATACATGAAAAGTAGTCTGAGTACATTATTGTGAAGATGAGTTTTGTAAAATGTCTTCTTTTCATGGAACAAAAGCAAATAACAAATTTCTCTTATTTGGAATATCAATTGTGATGGAAGATTGGCAGTGCTGGACGTATGCTGACGCTTACTCAGTAGCTGGATAAAGTTCAGAAACATTTTTAAAAACTTTTCTTTGTATCGGAGTTCCTGTTTCCCCGATCACTAAAAAACATCCATCTGATGTTGACACACTAATTATCTCTAATTATCCACACTGCAACCAATCAGAAGCCAATAGATGTAGGAATTGAAGTGCCACACCAATTAAAAAAGTTCTGATACAACTTTATACAAATATTGTCAGGGGATATTCAAGTAGAGTAGACAACACATTGCAGGTGGTCAGAACACCCCCCCCCCTCCCCTTCATCAGGGCTTAATGTATGAAATAATGTAACAGCTGGTTTGGCCAATGTCCTCATGACCCTAACTGAATAAAGTTGTATCTGGACTATAGAGCCATAGATGGCAGTAAATTCTTGAAGAAGATGTAACCTTTCCTCACTCTATGCAACACTAAAAACAAAAACATTTTATCTGATATACACCTTCATGGAAACACTCACCACAAATGGTCCTGCAGTGAAATGTTTTCTCTTTCTTCCATTTCCCACAGCTATATCTACAGATGAAGGTCATGTCTTTGTGTTTGGCCAAACTGGGTCTGAACGTTAATGAAGATGTGTAGTGTGGCCCCTCTCTGGATGATATGACGCCATACTGTGTGTCCAGCAGTCTCCCCTTTTCCTCATTATCTCCTCCATAGGACTGTAGGGTCTCACAGGCTTGTCCTCCTCTCTTCTCCAGCCATTCTACACTTATGTCCTCTGGGCACTTGGTTGCTCTGCAGTATAGAGTAGCTTCTTCTCCAGCT